TTCCACGCTGTCCGCTGTCCTCTGTCCGCCTGCCTGCCTGTCTGCCAATTCATTTCTATTCATGTTATGCAATTCAATTGTTCAGAGCGCTTCTCCCCCTTTATCCTCTACTGTTCCCAGCTTACCGAACTACTGGCCAGAGCTGTTAAACTTTCGTCTTGGGTAGTGCACTCTTTGCATATGCATATGGTAGTTTTTTTCCGAGTACTACCTGTTTCTATAGCTTGTGCAGCTGTTGGTGTTGTTGTTCTTGATGCTCTCAACTCTACTCTGCTCTATGTTGGTGATGTCCTTGTTGTCGTCCTGCTGTCGCTTGTGGCCAAAAACACTAACTAGCTGCCAAGTCTAGCTGCATCAAAATGTAGTTAAAAGCTTGCTCCGCCCGCTGCCCATGTAAAATCAGCACTTGCGGTCAAGTTGAGCTGACCGCTTGTAGGGCAAGCCATAATTATGCAATTTATTCCACTCAACATGCACTTTCTGGATATGCATCCAGGAAGCCAGTGGTGGTGAGTGTGGTGCAGTGTGGTTCGATTCGCAGTGGTGCTGCCTGGCTCGTCACATAGCATTTCAACTTTTCGGAATGGGCCAAACAATTATTCTGAGGCTAACATTTTGCCATGGCACATTTGTTTGCCACATTTTGGGAGCCTATGTACTTGTCATAAATTATTCATTGCCTGTATTTTGTGCAGCCGTGACTATTTCAATTTGAGCTAATTTCACATGCTTAGGGCAGTCTTGAGTTACGCTTAAGAGCCTGGCTACGTGCTCTCCAGACCAATGCCATAACTTGCCAAGCTTACAAAATTACTACATACCCTTACACATACACGCAAGCTCTCTTATCCCAAATCACAAAAGCACACACCCACGCCCTCACCCCACATTCATGCACATTAAGAGTCTTGTAAGCCAGTGCCACAAGTGCGTTAACGTTATCTACTTCCTGCTCATTCTCAGCCCTCATCCGTTGCTGTTTATGATGGCAATAGCACTGATTATCCACTGCACAAGGCTGCCAACGGCATCGCCACAAAAAAAAGAAGAAAAATGAAAAGTTATTGCAACGCACGACTTGGAAGTTGTCATGACGATGTGGCCCGGCTGCTAGACGTCGCTCCCTGTCCCCGCTCAATGCCACGGCCACACGTTTTGATTGAGTTTGGCGTGCACGCATGCCAAAAAGTCCGCTCCTCAAATGGCGTCATTTGCACAGCGCCGAGTGTTGCACTGCGTCCTGTCAACAACATGTAAAGTTATGGGATGGCAACGAGTTTGGCTCCAGCTTGGAGGACGCCAACGACGATAGCACAGCAAAGAAAATGCCATAACGCGCATCATTATTAGGCGAAAATTATTATCGCACATACAGCGATACACCGATGCACACACACACACACACGATCCTTACTCGGCGCTCCTGCAGCTGCCACTCAAGTTTGACGCGATAACGACTTTGGTGGAAAATCTCATCAGCTGGATTTATGACACGCGTAATTTTTATTGTGTTTGAACTGCAGCCGTCAAAGGAAAATTTGGCTAGGCGAGGACGCCTGCTCGAATGAGGCTAGCAGGGATGCCTTATCAGCGATAATCACGCTGAATAACCGCCGATACAGCAGTACCTGAATTCTCAATGCATAAACGAATCGTACTAAAATCGAGTCCAATTAATAATATAAGAATTATGATCTTCAAAACTGTCTACACAACAATGATCCGACTTTAAAAAATTAGAACAAATAAATGTTCCCCTTGAATCAAACATTTTATCACTTATTGTCTATTAAAGGTATCACATAAAGCCTAAACGGGACTTAAACAGTTTATGAACACTCTTCGAGACTTGATAAAACGTACTAAAACGCCTTTGCTTAGAGACTAAGACATTGAAACATGTTTGGTTTCCATCGCGTTTAAGAATACTGGGTTCAATTATTAATAGAATTGCCACGATTTGTTGCAAGAGCAATAACCATGAGTGGTAAGTTCAACAGCACAGCCTCCAAGCGGATGCAATTAGTTGTTTGCACGATCTGGACTAGTTTCTAAACATCAGATTGAACATAAGCCCTATGCATGCGGTATTTTAGCTTTTTTCCAAGATCTATAAGGGCGACCTAGGGGCCCCAAACAAAGTGTAATTTCACATATATTTTACTTGTAGCTACTATACTATATACTCATTATAATCTGGGAGGCCATAAGCCACTGCAGCAAGCCGCAAGGATTGCTGTGTACATTTTTTAAAGGAAATATAGGTATAGAAATATAGAAATATACACACATACCTAGCATCCACTTCATCACTGGAGTACACGAAACTGCCGTAGATTAAAAGGCCATGGAACTTTATTTAAGCAACAATCGCATATCGTAGGACATTGTAAGTTGCAGGCCTTGCATTAATCTTAGATCTCTACATTGGCATAAAACGGATCTAAAACAGTTCAAAGGAAAATCGACTGTTTCGTAAATATTAGTGTGGCTCTAGCAAGATTAAGCTGAAACAATATACTATATACGGTTTTTATTTGTATTGAAATCATTATTTCAGCTTAAAGTAGCTTTTCCTGCATTTAGTCAAACTACCCAAATCAATGAAAGGATATAAAATGATCCTTTAAATTGTGAGTTAAAAAATATTCATGACTGCACGTTCAGTGCTATGTAAAACTGTTTTTGGCGGGAGTTTCGGCTTTAAAAGCCCATTTCGGTCACAGCACTGGTAAGTACTCTTTCGGCTTTAGCTGCACATGAGCCATGACAACGCATGGCTGTGCTGTTAATTTCCTTAGTGTGTACGTCTTTTATTAACCATAAAATTTTGTAATTTTATGTTGCAGAAAACGTTGCAAATTTGCATGAGCTCGAAACCTCTTGTTGAACAGCACGGCTTAGAGTTTGATGGCAGCTCATTGTGTGGCTGCCTTTTTATGAGCTCATAAATAGGCTGGGGCTTGGTTATCGATATGATATGGTTTAGAGTGCAGGCATAAAATAATCACATGCTAGCGATACGTAGCGACGAGTGTGTTTATGTATTGGCAGCACCATTTTGAAGCCAGAGGCAACTGAAGAAGTAATTAACGAACATGACACAAGCACACCAGCACACCAGCACTCGCACATTGGCTTTAGGTTGCACAGATGTGTTGATGTATTTATGGCTTAGTGCCTCCGGCAGATGCATTTGTAATTAAGCAGCTTATTATGGGCATCAATTTGACACCTCGAGCTTCCATCCAAATGCATCGGAGGTAGCCCGAGTAGCAGGCTGTTCCTTGTTCAAAGTTTCAAAGTTGACCACAGCTCAGCAACAGCTGCTGCCCTGCTGCTTGCGGCCAGTTCGATCGGAACGCCTCACCAGTAACGCTAATCACGCACAGTGTCACAGACTGTTGCTAAAGCGTTAAATTCGTGTTAATTGAAAACCGTTAATTGCGTGTAAATTTCTAGCTAATTCTATTGAGTAATAGCTTTTGTTGTGTTTGTAATGCAAACGACACATCCGGCCGCGCTCACTCAAAAAGGTGGCCGCCATGACTCGGCACTGCTGGCAGGCACACACTACTACTGCTACTTCTACTTTTATGTATATAGCCGCAAAGATATTGAAATTAAGCAATGGGAGAGGCGTAAATCAAAATTTCATGGCAACTAATAAGTTAACAGCGCTGTAATGGCCTGTTTCCTGCATGAATTGTCAATGAAAGCCAAACTGCAATGTCATGACTGACAATAATACAAAGGAGCCAGTCCGCTATGTCCTGCTGGCAGGCAAGCGACGGCAGTTGCCCATCAACTTCAGTCACCAACGAGCGACAGTTTCGGCCTTGCATGGCATGTTGTGATTGATGAACTTATATCCAAGAGGGCGGGGACTGTGTTTCGATGTTGAGCAATCGAGAGCTGCACACAGCTTTAATATCTGTTCCCATTAAAGGCACTCTCAATGCTCTTGGAAATACATAAAACAATTTGTATCATAACATAATATTAAATTGAACCAATTTTATATATCGATTATAACAAGTGGAAATGCTATATGAAACACCCTATGTGTAGAAAAGTTGTATACATTTAAAAAAAAAAAAAACAAAACTGAAAAAAAACCAATTTACAAAATTGCAATAAAAATACAGAAACAATTTTTTGATTCAATATATGTTCTATGGAATTCGAATTCACATGAATGGTGTATGTGCGGCGTGTCAGTGTGTGTACAAAGATGAGCAAAGACGGCAACAACAGCACACATAACGCATCTTTGTGCAAAATTTGGTGTCTCTATCTCTTATAGTCTCTGAGAACCAGGTGTTCATACGGACGGACAGACGGACAGACTGACAGACGGACAGACGGACAGACAGACAGACAGACAGACAGACAGACAGACAGACGTACAGACGGACATGGCTATATCGATTCGGCTTGTCATGCTGATCAAGAATATATATACTTTGTGGGGTCTGCCACGCCTCCTTCTGCCTGTTACATTTTTCAGCTCCCGCAAACCTAATATACTTCTGTACATTTCATGTACAGAGTATAAAAATGCTTCTTACTTATAATTTGTATGCATTCTTATGCATATAAAAGAAAAGTGCATTTAATGAGATACAAAATTTTTATTTTTCAAACAATCATTGGAGCCCGTTTCCCCCTTTGGAAGCTACACTGTGAAAAGAAACTTAGGTCAAAATTGCAGTTTCCTATCTGTTACCGTTTGGGCTGCACATTGCTCACCAATACTCGATGAAGTCAGTCAGTCAGAACAGAGGGGGCTATACTACCAATACTGGTATACTATAAAGATATGTACTATATATTGCTATTTGCTTGTCAAGTCCGCACACCGTGTCAATCGCAATATTTTTTATACAGCCTAACAAATAAATTTGTTCTGCTAAATTAGTGGTTCATCTAATTAATTACTTGAGGTTTAAGTATATCATTCGGTGATTTCATGTCATTTAGTTGTGACATTTTTGCACTGCAGACATGATACTTCTCGGTGTTGTGTTAATAGCATTGATAGTGCCACAGGCGACTTGGCAAACAAATGTAAGCTCACCAAAATGTGACATTTCAAAAAAGTGCTACTTGTTGATTGAATAATGTTTATTCAAGATGGAACGCATCACCACCGACATTTTTGATACAATTGATGGGCTGATGCTTCAACTCAATAGTAAACATAAGCACTTATATGTTCTTCATAGTAAGTGCCCCAGGTGAGAAGAGCTTAAGTTTTCCACTAAAAAAGTACTTCAAATAGCCATATGTTTTCAGGGCTCTCAGATCACAAGGTGAGCGATTGTGGAGTATTTAATTTAGCGTTTCCTAATTTTTATGTCCTACACAACAGGCTTTTACCAAGGGGTAAGTGTCTGTTTTTTTACTGCCCCCATACCAACATCATATGTTATCTTTAGGACGAATATGGTGCTGCTTTGTTACTCAACATACAGCAGCAGTTCACATTTTTGCGGGTACTCTATAAGACTAGATGCCATAGTGGAACTTCGACTATTCACTATCCCAACTGCAACAGCAGTGCCATGGCTCACAACCCATTTTGTCAAAATGAACCATATGATTGGAATCTAATTCAAGAGACTGGGAATGGCCATCGAATAGAGATGCCCAAGTATGATGATGGAACCTCTCAAAATCTAAAAAATCCACCCCGCAGGCGTATCTTTAGGAAAAAACGAATGGGTATTAACAACCGACTCGCATTTCCATACAACGAATATTCTCCACCAAAGATCTCAACCGGCGCCCAGAAAACACCCTATGGTGGAAGCATTGCCAACGAACCAGGTCCTAGTTGGCCCTATCATGGTCAGATGGATTTTAAAAACAACAGAAATGTTGTTGAACGGAATGATACACCAAGAAACGTTGGAAGACAGTATTTAAAGAATTTCGAGCATATGCTTCGGAATAGCACCAAAAAATTAGAGCAATTTTTGAGTTCAAACCTACCGATCCCAAGCAATAGTAACAATCCGAAAGTGGATCTCAAAATTAAAGAAAACGCTACTGCTACCAAGGCCAAAAAGGATTCTATTGAAAATTTGTTCAATGAATTAAAGGAATCTATTAACCATTTCAAAAATTAGCACAATGGTGTAATATATATGAACCTATCATATTTATAATAGATAACATTGCCCGCTAAAGCTATAAATACAGAAGCTACTTATTGGCTTCTTGGTTTTTATACCCTGTACCCGTAGGGTAAAAAGGGTATATTAGGTTTTTCCATAAAGTATATATATAATTCTATCGATCTAGTCATGTCCGTCCGTCTGTCCGTCTGTCTGTCTGGATGAACGCAAGGATCTCAGAAACTATAAAATCTGGAATAACCAAAGTTGGTATCCAGATTCTCCTACGTCCGAGAAAGGACGAGTTTATTTTATTTTTTGGAATCATCCCCCACCACAGAATTTCGTCAATACCGTCCACATTTCAAAAGCTACATTAACCAAACTTTGCATACATAATATATAATATAATTATCTACTTTTGTTTCAAATTTCATCCAAATCGGTCAATTCTAAGAAAAGTAATTACTGAAACAATTTCACTCCGGTACTACGCCCACAAGCTGCAGCATCAAGTTCGCTCTTCTTCGTCCTTTTGCTTCTGCTAGAGGCGCATGTACCTCAGTGTCGGCAGTTTACCTGGGTACAGGGTATATCACTGTAAGGCCTGCTCGACTGTAGCGTTCTCTCTTGTTGATATTTGTTTTCAATCAATTTGGGAATTAAATCTATATACATATATTTTCCACATCAAAGTAACAGTGTTGTAATGTTTGCTCGCTGATAATAAAATAGTAGTAGAGAATAACATAAAAAATTAATTAAAGCTGAATGAATGATTTTGAATAACTTAGTTATTGAAGATTTATAATATTGAAGGGTAAAATTCCATTAAAAAAATGATATCATGTGCACTACTCTCAAAAAAAATTGCGTAACACTAATGGATATTTTGATATTCATATCTTGTTTTTAAATCAACGTTAATTTAACTAGAAATCTATTTGATTAGTGATTTAAATATGAATAATATGCAAAACAAAGTATTATAATAAAAAAAATAATAAAAAAGTTACAAATAAATACATCAAAATATATAAAATATGATATGTGCCAATTATTATAATTCAAAACAATTCAAAATAATTAAGAACGATTAACAACGAATATTCAGATTAGATCGAAAAACAAAGAAGCCATTGTGACTCAAGCCCACGTCCACCGCCCAATTTAAATTCAATATGTTTATAGTTAAATCAAAATTGAAGTAAAAATAATTTAAATTATTTAAGAATCTACGTAAATACAAAGCTTGTCAACCGGGCTCAGCCGTTTCAGAAACCCGGACACACCAAAAGAAATGGCTAGATCGGATTGCCTCGACATGCCGATCAACCTTATCAATGTAACATACATTCATATATACCTTATATACATTCGGGCAAATTCAAAAGAAATTCATAAACATAAACTCAGCAATGGCTGCAAGTAGAGTGCCTTAAATTGGCAAATAATAAGTAGCTTAGCAAATAAGTTCATCAATAGTTGTTTTATAAATATACATTGGGCGACAAGCGGCAGCTCACTAACGAAGCTGCCCCATCTGGGAGGGTGTGTGTTGTGTGAGTATGAGTATGTATGAGTGCTCGTTGACTTGTGACTGAACTCAACTACAAATGCAAACAAAATTCACAGAAGAGTGACATGGCCTTCTTCAGAAGGGTACAATAAACAACACTAACGAAGTGCATATAGCTTGGGATTGTATGTTCAGGACCTACACACTGGAGAATGTGAGAAAGTTAAGGCAATATGCATATATCAGGAATATCTTGTGATTGATGTTTCAGTAAGAGGTAGAACATTGTTCATAAAAACCAAAAAATGATCGCAATTTACTGAAAAACGATAAGAAAAACGAAGAAAAGTAAAATAGCAAATATCATTGAGGTACATAGAAATATAGATCCCTCTTACTCTTCACTTAAGTCTATATTAGAAAACAAAATCATAAAGCATCCGTAGAAAATAAAATAAAGGCTCTCTAAAAAATTTTTAAAATGTTTTTTTGGTGTGAAGCTCCTACTATAGTTTGTATTGACAGCATGACGAAACGAATCGATACCGCTATTGTTCTAAAGAATAGTTAATGATATTTGGGTGTATCTTCGTAACAGATTTTAAATTAGTTAATTCATTTCTTTTATTTATTAATAGGACACAGTAACTTTTTTCTTTCGACCATCGTTTTATTCGAAATTTTAAAACGTATGTATAAATAGAAATTCTACAGTGTGACCAAATAGGCTTTAGAGGGTACTTCCACACAATCGAAAAGAAACTATCAACTAAAAGAATGATTTAAATTTATATTCTGGAATTAATTATATTTAAAAATAAAATATTTTGAATTCATTTTCTATTTGTTTTGCAAAATACTCAAATTGTGAGCTTCTCATAAGGTATTTTATATTGAAAGGTTGGGAAAACTAAGCTTCCAATTACTAGCATCCCAATGAGGACCCCCATTGTCTTTCTACAAACGGGTGCCCACACACCTTTACAATTGTCCTTTTTTGTTTTGATGGTGCCACATTTGTTTGTTCACATGTCCTACCATTCCTTTTTTTGTGCATCAGATCGAGCGCTTAATTTGCTAAGCCCGAAAAGTAGAAATTCAAACAAATCAGAGCAACTGAACAGAAGTCAAGGTGTGTTTGCCTTTTTTTGTACGCGCATGGTTGTGTGTGTGTGTGTGTGTGTGGATTTTGTGGCTGCTCAACGGCAGCCACTGTCTATCAGGCCACAATTTTTATCATACACACTCTAGTACACAATGTGCTTGTATGTGTGTGCCTGACAGGACTTTTCGTTGTTGCTACATTACGTTGTGTACCCTTTTTTGTTTGGTGTGTGACTGTTTTCCATTTTTCTTTTCCATTTTTGGCTTTTGATGTGGAGGAAGCTCATCATCAAAGGCCCGAGCACACGCTCACTGTGATAATTGAGCATGGATGTGTGTATGTGTGTATGTGTGTGTGCTACCTGTATGGCGCTTTTGTTTGTAGTTGCCTTTTTGCTTTTTTCAGTTCCGTTTACCGCTGGCAAATATTGACCCGCATTGATTGTTACTTTTCCGGCTGTAAATTGGCGGACGCGTTCTTAGTTTGTGCAGAAAGTTTTCACTTTCGAAAATCGTAATTGGCCACTTTATGGGTGGGCGCCCCATTAAAGTCATTTAACTATTGGACGTCGCCAGCGTGTAGCAACGCCATTGCCTTGCCATTTACCAATTTTTTGTATACACTCGTATACTATACCGTTAAAATTGCTTTTATTACTTCCGTCTCCAGTTATTAATGTTTCTGGGCTTGGCTTCACTTCCTTCACATATACTCGCACACACACACAAGCACACATCCACTCATTTTTTCTATTTATATTTTTCAATTAAGCAACAACAATTTAACGTTGTGTTGTATACGGGCTTGTGTAATAAATTTCAACTACAAAATGACTGCGCTCAGCCAAATATAAGACCCTGCCGGCCACACAAGGTCCTCCCAATCGCAAAAAATTACTAACTACCTACCCAGCCACCAACGAAGCCACGCACTTGGCGCCTGGTTTCACTTCATCTGGTCCACCAAAGTGCAGGATGCGGACAGTTTCGTCCATTTGCTACTACTGTACAGATTATTTTATTGTTACCGATAGTCAGCCTTGAATTGAATTGTTCAAATATATGCAATACATGCAAGTTTTCACGTTCTAATTGCTAATATATTACAAATTAAGCTACATATTAAATATGTATTCCTCTATAAAATGTGAAGCAATTATCCAACCCCATAAAGAATATTCTAAGTTAGCATGAGGAGGGAAATCGATCAAGGCATGTCTGTCTGGGTTTCGAAGACCAAAGTGTCCCTAGAGTAAAAATTCAATAAAATATGGCAGCTTATATCAAAACATGTCCTTTCGAAAACTTTGGAGGTACTTGTACTTTCTGCCAATTTGAGGAAAAATATATAAACTTTGGGGGTCCGCAACGCCTTCTTCTATGGGGTTCAGGATTTAAAAATATGAAATTACCGGATTTTACAAACCCACACTAATATAACCACACACAAGCAGTGGAAGCGGTAGACGATCTGTCTTATATTAAGAGCTAGAAATGTAAGCACAATATTTGAGTTTTATTAATGATGACATTTCGGAAATTGTAAAACAACACACACTTAAAAATTATGAGCCAAATTTCGTCAATTTTCGTTGTTACTATACAGTCGATCCGCTTTATCTACGCAATCACATAGATACATGATCACTTAAGAAACTTGGTCCTTTTGTAAAAAATTATTCAGAACCATTGCATAACTGTAAATTGCTTTTGTTACTCTTAGGGCCGTAGCCATAGATAGATCCATCACCCTGCCCACCGATAAGTTAATGGTGTTTTGTGACTTCATCAGCATTATCAGCACCATTTTCTGCTCTGTGACCGACATTTTGTACCACAAACATTCATTATAAATACAGTCGCGTACTTCCCCGTTCTGAAAAATAACATAAATCTGAACAATCAAAATCTTCCCATATTGGCTAAATTGTACATTTACCGAAGTCTCAACCACAGTGCCTAGGACGCAGTATAAATACATCATCACAAAACTGAATACCAAAAATAATAAAGCCAAAGGCCAAGCACCCAAGAAATGGCAGACAAGACAGGCCATTATTCCATATGCTTTGGCAAAGATTTGTACAAAAACGACATTAAAAAATATCATCTCGGTTTCTTCAATAATGCTGTGAAAGAAAAAGTACCAGTTAATGATGTAGGAACACTTCAATGATGAGTACATACTAAATATATTGTTGATGCCACTTAAAAATGTCCGCTAGCATGAAGAACGTCTCGGATGAATCATGTGTGTCCTGTAGAACTGCATTAAGGTCTTGAAACTTCAATATCAATATCTTCTTCAGCAGTGGTATTTGAGATACAAACACAAACAAATATGTATCGGCAGCAAAATTTCCAAAAATAGCGAAAAAAAACAACACCATGTGTATACAAAGAAGCATACTATGGCCTGAGGGTGTTTTATGATCTATTCCTGGGATAAGAAACATCATGGCCATCACCCTCTCATTGAAGATAGCTCCATATACAAAGGGAAATGTGACCACAACGAGAACAACCACGAAATTTATAATTATACAACCAATTAAAACTTTCCGTGTTAAGATAACGTGTTTCATTAGACATTCCCTGTATCTTTGGTTCTTCTGTTCATATTCGATATAGACACTCTCCATGACCATTGCCAAGTTGCGCCAACCGTCTTTATGCTTTAGAACCGATATAAGCTTTGTCATACCTTCTAAGCCGCTGGGAAGCAAGGCAGTCACTTGTAATACGACTGTCCAATCATCTTCTATAACAATTCCCACGTAGATGGTGTAGATGAGATTTATATAAAATACACATATAGCAAACATCACAAAGCGCGTCACCATATTGATCCGATAGTTCGGATCCATTATATTCGCACCACACATAGTTGATACTACCTTTAGAAAACCGATAATATTTCGAAATCGCTCGGACGGACCCAGCACCATATTAGATTGATTTTTCAGCAAGTACTGAACACCCCGTCCAGACCAGTAAGTGCTGATGGCGAAGAATTGACTCTATTTAGAATTTTTTATGTGGATTTCTTGATTGAAGGAATAATTACAGACTAATTGCTTTCATTTTTGTTAAATAGGCGTAAAATAAAATGAGCAAAATAATTTATTTATTATACGCTGAACCTGAATACAACAAGAAAGTACACTATAATATACTTGTGAGCAGTGAAACATTTAATAGGCAGAATGAGGCGTGGCAGACCTCTCAAAGCACTTATATATTCAATTAATGTTAGTGGAGGTAGAGAAGAGTCAGACCCCCTCCACTTTGAAGAGAAGCAGCTACGCCAAGCTGATGTGAATACGGTTGTTCCACAAAGCCCAGACCTGTTCCTAGGCCACCACAGATGAAGAGGATGCCCTTGGGGGGTACTCCTCGGAAACATCAGTGTGCACAACGGGGATGTGGATCTGCGTAGGTAAGCTTTCTGATTTGAGGATGCAGGATTATAAGCCAATAAATAGTACTAGTAATAGTACAAGACCCAGACCATAGCAAGAAAAACAAAAACATGATGCTGCTAAGAAGAGATTTCGTCTGTGTGTGAACACTCCTTGTAAGAGCATAAATACATTCAGTTCGAGGTATCTCTAAAGAACGAGAGACCAATCGCGACTAGGTATCCTAGAAACACAAATTGGTCCTCGTATTTAAACTACATAGACAGTCTTCTACCAGATTACCCACCTCAGGGCCCAGACACAGTAGAATTCACCTCGAAGAATTCACCCATTAGAAAGCCAAATGGCAAACTCAAGTCTACCTGGTGGGTTCTTCAAGTCAGTGAGTCAAGAAAAAAGGCCAGGAAAATTGTCAATGCACCCAAAATCCAAAATATGGAGCAACTCTGGTGTGCATATAAACAAAGACTGTCGGAGTAAAAGAAAATACTCTGGCAGGCTAAACGATCCTGTTGGCAGAACTTTTGCCTTGATAGGGAGATTCTCTATACCAGGTTTTTTTTTATTTATTTATTTTTATTATTAACTTATCCTAGCGTTACAAGTAACAGATTACTTTTAAGTTTGTCTATGCAATCTTCGAAGCCAGTAGTTCATCCATACAAACGCATAGCCGGACAGGCTATATCGATTTCTCTCGTCATGCTGATTAAGAATATATGTATGTACTTAATGGGGTCGGAGATGCTTTTTTCTCACTGGTTCATACTTTTCACAAGTATAATGTACCTTTTTACCTTTCAGCTGCAGTATATATATATATATAGTAGGAGAGTCAAAATATTATTTGATAAGTCATAACATATTATACTGAATTTTAGGTTTAAATAGACACAAACAAATTCAATTGCATTTGGATCACCAAAAACGTGTCTAACGCTCCAAATATCCTTCTTAAGTAAAACTTATGAAGAAGGACAAAAAATAAATAAGAAAAACGACATTGAAATGGAAAAAGTACGCTTTCAACAACAAAGCTATAATGTTTATTTATTTGTCACTTTTAAGCTATATATATTGGGTGTAGCTCAGACTGACTTGGCCAAGAATAACCATAACTATATGTATGAATGTATGAAAGAGTAACAACTTCTAGGCTATGTGGGTCGATAGAAATGCAAGAATTTCTAGATTGTGTAAGTGTAAGTTATGTTATACGTTATTTATTTTGTTGATATTCATGAACAATAATTGATTTGAGACAAACTATTTGCCGCTGCGTCGAACAGGGTCCTATTGTAAAAAATTATTCAGAACCATTGCATAACTGTAAATTGCCTTTGTCACACTTAGCGCCGTAGCCATAGATAGATCCATCACCCTACCCACCGATAAGTTAATGGTGTTTTGTGACTTCATCAGCATTATCAGCACCATTTTCTGCTCTGTGACCGACATTTCGTACCACAAACATTCATTATAAATACAGTCGCGTACTTCCCCGTTCTGAAAAATAGCATTAATATGAAAAGAACAAATTATTCTCATATTGACTGAATTGTAAATTTACCGAAGTCTCAACCACAGTGCCTAGGGCGCAGTATGAATTGAGCATCACGAAGCTGTAGACCAAAAATAATAAAGCCAAAGGCCAAACGCCCAAGAAATGACAGACAAGAGAAACCAACATTCCGTATGCTTTGGCAAAGATTTGTACAAAAACGACGTTAAAAAATATCATCTCAGTTTTTTCAATAATGCTGTTAAAGAAAAAGCACCAGTTAATGATGCAGGAACACTTAAATGATGAGTACATACTAAATATATTGTTGATGCCATTTAAAAATGTCCGCCAGCATGAGGAACGTCTCGGATGAATCATGTGTGTCCTGTAGAACTGCATTAAGGTCCTGGAACTTCAATATCAATATCTTTTTCAGCATTGGTATTTGAGAGACGAACAAAAACAAATATGTATCGGCAACAAAATTTCCAAAAATAGCGAAAAAAAACAACACCATGTGAATACAGAGATGCATACTATGCCCTGAGGGTGTTTTATGATCTATTCCTGGGATAAGAAACATCATGGCCATCACCCTCTCATTGTAGATAGCTCCATATACAAAGGGAAATGTGACCACGATGAGAGCAGGTATGAAATAAATAAGTATGCAGCATATCAGCAGTTTTCGTGTTAAAATAACGTGTTTCATTAGGCATTCCCTGTATCTTTGGTTCTTCTGTTCATATTCGATATAGACATTTTCCAAGGCCATTCCCAAGAAGCGCCAACCATCTTTATCCTTTAGAATCGATATAAGCTTCGTCATACCCTCTAAGCCGCTAGGGAGTAAGGCAGTCGCTTGCAATACGATTGTCCAATCATCTTCTATAACAATTCCCACGTAGATGGTGTAGATGAGATTTATATAAAATACACATATAGCAAACATCACAAAGCGCGTCACCATATTGATCCGATAGTTCGGATCCATTACATTCACACCAATTAGAATTGATATTATCTTAAGAAACCCGATAATATTTCGAAATCGCTCGGACGGTCCTTGCACCATATTGATTTGATTTTTCACCAAGTACTGAAGATCTTATCCAGACCAGTAAGTGCTAATGGCTATGAATTGACTCTATTAAGAATGTATTATGAGGATTTCTTGATTGAAAGAACAATTACTGACTAATTGCTTTTGTTTTTGTTGAATTAAATATGCAAAGTAATTCATTTTCCTTTTATTTACATAGTAAACTAGGTTAACCAGGAAGCACTGGAAGTAAAGGTAAAATACTCAAGGATCGAAAACTTCTGATGAATCGAAAATTGTTAGTATATGTGGGTAACATATAGCGAAAAACAATATAATTTCTATGAAGCTATGTTTGTATATTGTCCTTTTTTTATTGGTCAGTATTGATACCATACCTGTTTTATTTATTTTATTTATTCTGATAAATAATTTTCAAAATGAATGCATTTTTTATCTAATAAGTTAGGGTTTAATGGCTATCGAAAAGATGTTGATTTCTGGTCATTATCACCTTACTCCAATGACGGTAGTGTGTGTGTATCATATCCTACTGTACTATGTAAATAAAAATTCAATAACTTTGCATATTTAATTAAACGACTCCGCAGCACATCCCAAAGCAATTAGTCTGCAATTATTCCATCAATAAAGTAATCCATTCTTAATAGATTCAATTCTTCACCATTAGCACTTACTGGTCTGGATGGGGTGTTCAGTCTTGGTGTAAAATCAAATCAATATGGTTCTGGGACCATCCGAGCGATTTCGAAATATTATCGGCTTTCTTAGCACAATATCAACTATGATTGGTGTGAATGTAATGAATCCCAACTATCGAATCAATATAGTGACGCGCTTTGTGATGTTTGCTATATGTGTATTTTATATAAATCTCATCTACACCATCTACGTGGGAATTGTTATAGAAGATGATTGGACAATCGTATTACAAGTGACTGCCTTACTCCCTAGCGCCTTAGAGGGTATGACAAAGCTTATATCGGTTCTAAAGCATCAAGAAGGTTGGCGTTACTTGGGAATGGCCTTCGAATGTGTCTATGTCGCTTATGAACAGAAGAACCAATGTTACAGGGAATGTCTAATGAAACACGTTATTTTAACACGAAAACTGCTGATATGCTGCATACTTATTTATTTCATACCTGCTCTCACCGTGGTCACATTTCCCTTTGTATATGGCGCTATCTACAATGAGAGGGTGATGGCCATGATGTTTCTTATCCCAGGAATAGATCATAAAACACCCTCGGGTCATACTATGCACCTGGGAATACACATGGTGTTGTTTTTCTTCGGGGTTTTTGGAAATTTTGCGATCGATACATACTTGTTTGTATTCGTCTCTCAAATACCAATGCTGAAAAAGATATTGATATTGAGGTTCCAGGACCTTAATTCAGTTCTGCAGGCCACACATGACTCGTCTATAACGTTTCCCATGCTAATGGACATTTTTAAATGGCATCAACAATATATTAGGTATGTACTCATGAAGAAGAGTTCCTGTGTCATTAACTAGTACAATTCCTTTAACAGCATTATTATGAAAACCGAGAAGATATTTTTTAATATCGTTTTTGTACAAATCTTTGCCAAAGCCTACGGATTGTTGGCCTGTCTTGTCTGTAGGTTCTTGGGCGTTTGGCCTGTTGGTACTTTTTTTTTGATGTACAGCTTTGTGATGCTCAATGCATACTGCGCCCTAGGCACTGTGGTTGAGACTTCGGTAAATTTACAATTCAGCCAATACGGGAATATTTTAGTTCTCACTTTATGTTATTTTTCAGAATAACGAAGTCCGCGACTCTATTTATAATGAATGTTTGTGGTACGAAATGTCGGTCATAGAGCAGAAAATTGTGCTGATAATGCTGATGAAGTCACAAAACACCATTAACTTATCGGTGGGCAGGGTGATGGATCTATCTATGGCTACGGCGCTAAGTGTGACAAAGGCAATTTACAGTTATGCAATGGTTATTTATAACTTCTTACAAAAGGATTCAATTTCTTAAATTATTCTATACGAGTAGTATGTAAATTGGAAGTTGCTTCGGTAATCTAAATCACATATTAAAGCACATTAAACGAACAACAACGCTCATCCAACTCTTATGTACCCTTTAGCCAAATGCACAAAAAAATGAAAAAGATGTTTACAATTTATTTTTATAAATTAAATGATTAAATAACTACTCCTACAAAATTAAACAAAAATGTTTGAATTCAAACAATATTAAATTTATCTAAAAGCAACATAAAAAAATATCCTACAATTATAGCCAAAATCCCCCAAGTTTGTGGTGCTCTATTAGCTTGGCTTTTATGGGCAGCAAACTGATTGGTCCGTATAAGTCCAGAAAAGAAGGGCTTTATATTACATCATATCCCTTCTAAATGTAATTTCATGACCGTTTCATCGAACGATTAACAATGAATCATTTCATCGTGTATCTACAGATCTTCGAGAACTTTTAAATTCGAAATTGGTCTTCAATCTTTACATGCAAATAAATTAAATAAATAGGTAAGCCTCAGCATTTCGTTAAACAATAGCACCAGAAAAAACACTTCTTTGATTGATTATATCCTTCACTATAATGGGAACAATCAGAGGACATAACTGCTTAGGAAGTTCGACAGCCAATTGAATTTCTCTTTGTGTGATTGTTGAGCTGATACTAAATGATCCGAGGTCTTTCTTTTGGCCCAGGATCCCTTAGCCCTTATAGCCAGAGTTCGCTGAGTGTGCCTCACTAGAAGCATTTGAAAGAAGTGGGTCATTTTCATTCTGCTTGTGCAATACTAGCAATTTTTTTACCCTATCTGCTATTCTGCGATATACTTTGTCCGCTATTGCTTCTCGGATGCGACAAATTTTCCTTTTGAGCCCCCTTTTAATAAGCAGTAGAGTCCCAATAGCAGAAGGGAGCCTGTTTTTAGATCTTAATCCATGCCTATCGGGAGCAGCGCTTAGGGCAGCTGCATGCGCACCAAGATTTCCAGATTCAGATCAACCGTTTCTCGACGAATTACGACAATGTCTCCACCACTTTGCAATAAACGTCCCTTCTGACCTTGATGACGGTAATAGTCTTAAGTGGCTACTAAATGTACATAGGTGATCTGAATAATGCCGGAATTCTGTTATAAATTAGAGGTTTTCTTGTCTTTGAATTTCAAAAAAGTCAATAGCGCTTTGTGCGGGTGTGTGCTTCACCAGGATAGAATTTGGACAGAAAAGTTTTGGATTTGGATTTGCATTCTGCAGAAATTTGCTCACGAACTCGCTCTAACGTTTCTCCAGAGTCTGCTTTTGTCATTGAAATATGGTCCAACTAGCGGGTCTTGCCCGTCTTTGCTTACAAGTTATGCTATTCCTCTTTCGACGCTCTCTAAACTTTTTAAAGAGTTCATTTTCCAAACAGCAAATATAGTACAATAAGTACTATGTGTGGTTCTACGTACATACATACATATGTACAAACCTTCGTTACACACCGAGCGGACTGCCAGCCCTGACTTAACTGTATGCATCCTCAGCACGTTATCCCCGAAAAGTCCGACGCGGGACATTTACTTTTGATTTATAAATCGGGACGTCCCGCCAAAATTGGAGCGTTCTGCAACGCTGATATGTACATACATTTAAATTTTTCATGCAGGCGTTATCCGCCTATAGATACATACAAAAATATATAAGTATGTATTAAATATGTTAATTCAACACTAATTTGTGTCTTCAATTCCAAATATGATTGTTGTGAATGTAAAAGGTGTGTTTCTGCTTTTGTAAATCGCATGAATACACTCACAAAATAGGCTTAACGGTAAATGACTCTTAGATTTGTTCAGAATACATTTGTAGCGTTGTGAGCTAACACTAAAACGGTAAGTAGCTATAAATATGCGATCAGCTGAGATGCTAGAGATGGGCATGTGTCGGATGCTCTATGTGCTAGAACATCAAAACTATCGATAGTTGAGTCCGTCGATACAATCAATAATTCCATCGAAGTTTGAATGCAATTAACAGAAAATTTAAATAATAACATCTTATAATTTATTGATATCAATTAGAACAAATCATCTGCCCGCAACTTTTGGCATTTTGCCTTTGAAATTAACAGGCGTAAATGATCAAAACGAAAGAAGAAGCGCGAGCCAATGACTTGCAGTTGTTGTTGTTTTTCGTTTTAAGAACTTGATTTAAAACCATAGAACATTATTTATTACAATCAAACAACAGTGCTCGATTGTCCAATGTACGTACACAGGCATACATACATACATATGCATGCATGTTTCTCTTTACTTTTTCATACATAGGCAAGAACTGTTGCTTGTTCTGTGTATGGTGTGTGTATATGATGTCCCCAACGATTTGATATTTGCGTTCTTTGTAATTTGTTGTTGCTGCATAAAGTTAGTAATGAAAACCCTAATGCCAAATGTGGGCACCCACACTATGAAAGGATACATACTTGAGTCCAAATTTCGGCTTCCTAGCTCTTACCGTTTGGGCTGTGCGTTGATCACCAATCAGTCAGTCAGGACAAACTGTTTTATATATATAGAGATGATGAATTTACTTCCCAAGTTGTTAAATATCAAGCTGAAGTTTGCTTCTGACCATGTAGGGTTGTAGAGAGACGACACAAAAAACTCTCCATTTGCAGTTGAACTGGCTTTTAAGATATGTCCTGTTTGACTAGAGACGCTGCTTTTTCTTTGATTCTATTGCAGGAATGGTCTGCTTTGTGCATATTGTAGGTAGGAACATAGACGCAGATACTCTCCTGTAGCCATTCACGTCTATGGTGTGTTCGAAAAGTGTTCCAAGAGGAGTACGCTTAGTAAATTTGTCTAGCGTACAATTTTTCCATTAATCCACACACTTCAAACATACATCCTGAACTACATACATACAGTACGTCCATCAAATACTATTTGACTTCTACAAATGCAGGGCATGTAATACCCTCATACATTATGCAGCTGTTGATGGCTATAAAGTGGTCGCTTAGCACAACTTTGGCTGCGACCGCATTGCTGCTGTTGTTGTACAATCGTGGAGTGCTTTAGCAGTAAAACTAATTGCATTACATCAATTTTTCTGTTAAAAGTCAATAACCAATCAGACACACACCCACACCTACACCCACACACACTCGCACAGACCTAGAGATGTAGCGCGATTGAAAGTTTGAAAACGTGCTGTTAAATGCACACAGACACGCATCCAGCGAACATAAACTCGCAAACACACACACACACACACACACACGCAAACTAGGAGGCGTCCTAACTACATGCCTCGCGGTCAATTTAATGGTGGATCATTCGGCGACCATGGGAGAAAAGTAGAAGCAGCGCAGTAATGACAGAAGTAATCACATTAGCTTCATATAAACTTGCTCTGGCTCTGCCTGTGCTTTCAGGGTTGTCAAGTGCATGGAGAGAGTTTTAAAATATCCCTTATTGGTTTAAGCGCCCTTTCTAGATGAACGATCCTGCACTCAAAAATAAAGCATACAGCTGGAGCTCCCTTGCACATTTATTACAATGCATACACACATGCCTATGTACTCTGTGGTGGAAGCTGCCGCCTACACGACAGCCCTGCCGCCGTTGATGTGCCGTTGTCTGTCTCTATTCCCTGGCAGCACCATCACCAGCACCAGCACCGGCGAGCATGCACTTGCATCTCCACCTCACACAGCCACGAGTAACGATGACGTGTTCATGCAGTTGCTGTCAACGCGGCGCGCTTCCATTTTACAGCCAGGAGGGTTGCCCCAACCTCCACCAGAAGTTCAGCTGGCGCCAAATGCTGCCGGCGCGCGTCCAGCCACGCAGCGATGTTAAATCGTTAATTGATTACAGCCAACATTGATTGTTGTTGTTGTCGTTGTTGTTCTTGTTTCTCTGTTGTTGATTATTTTTTTCCGCACCACACCAGAGAGGTCGTTGTTGATAGTATTGGCAGGGGGAAGCGGCGATTGCTTCAAAATGGATTTTTATAGATGCTGTAAGCGATTTCAGTTGATTTTGGTGGCAACTCTAATAAGCGCACACATACAGACACATAAAATGGTATATATGTATGTATGTATATAAATACTCACTGTTTCGCCTTTGGCCATTTAACTGACGAATTATTTAGGTATTTGTACTCGTATATACATACATACATACAGATGCAGAGAGCATTTTAAAACTAATTGTTAAGCAGAGCACAAAAGTACAAAAACGCAAAGCACGTACGCATCAAAAACAAACGTTCAGCCACAACCGCAAATATAAACGGAGCAACAGCAGCCGAACAGACAATCTGGCCAAAATATTAGTTACTGGCAGTGGGCTGAGGTGGAAATGAAGGCGGATGTGGATGTGGATGTGGAGCAACTCTTGGCAAACAAGACTGGAGCCATGCAAAGGGAAAATCGCTCTTCGAAATCAGAGACGAACCAAACCGTAACCCACATAAAATATGAGGCAGGCGGCGAGGCCAGTCGTGTGGCTGTAACTGATATTACAGTTAAGGCGGTAACGAGTCTGCGTCTACTCGTAGCACAAAAAGCGACCAACAACGGCGCATCATGCGCTGCCACTCAAAAATGTTCAACAGCACAAGGCCACAGGAGCAACAAAAGCCACGGGCAGTACCCGAGTTTGAACAAAAACGAAAAGAAAATCAAGCTACGAGTACAAATGCGAGCTTGAGTTCGTAAAGGAAGCAAGGACGGCGGGCAACATAAAATACGAAAAAGGTACGGCGAGCTCCTGACGAGCATTTTAAGCAGCAATTATTTACTTGATGCCAATGACAACAAAAAGGAGCATGGGCTTAGAATTAAAACAACAGCGTGCAGACACATGGCCATATGAGTGGATAGTTAATGGAGTAGGACGGGTTAAGGGAGAGCAGATTCTAAATGCACGAGCGTTGTGGAACATGCCGGCAGCAAAAATTCAATTTAAGCACAGAATTCATTATATTCTATACATACAT